ACTGCAGAACAGTCAGCGATTTGATAGAAAAAACCTTCTAACCCAGGTCGAAGCCTCACGGTCGCTTACGATTATTTATGCTTAATTACGATCGTTTTACGGCACGTAACTCAGCGTGGACGACCGTTTCTGGTCGTTTACGGTGGTCATAAATCTCACCGCGGGAAATGGCGTCAATGCGCGTCAGATCCCTATCGTGTCCAAAATGAGAAAACTGTAGATGAAAACCCATGGAAAACGTCGATGAATACTGCAGCATCATTGATGCGAAACTCCATCGACGAAACTCTGTGATTCTCAAGAGAAAACCGTTCATCGATGTCGATAGGCAATTAATCTCATTAGATTATGTCGACTTTTCCCCTGTCTAAGCCGTCATTTTCAAGGCAAGAAACAAATGAGCGAAGAAGATACTGGATACATGAGAGACACGTATTTACGGAGAGAGATAAATACTGAGAGAGATTTGGGAAAAGAGAGAAATCGATGAAATAAATTAATGAATGTCGAGAGGAGAGAGAGAACGAATGAGGTGTTCGATTTAGATGAAGCGCGTGTGCTAGAATGACCAGAGATTTCCAGTAATGTCAGAATTCTCACGAAGTGCGAATTGAACTATTCTCCAGCTGCACCGAGAGCAAGACCTTTATCGACTTTTAATTCTACTTTCTACATGCCTACTGAAAGCCTTCTTCCCACACGCGGCACCACCATCCCAATGAACTCGAACAACAGTCCAGTGGGCTAGGAGTGGAATCCATCAGGAAACGAAAGAGAATTGAGAGAGAATGCAGCGAATGAGGTCAAATGAGCGGAGAATACCACTCTCTCTTGAAGAATCACCCATTCCAAGAGGAAGCCAATAGAATCGAAAGATGCGAGACGTCTCCGAAACGACTCGATCAGTCAGATTGTCGGCTGAGGCTGATGCAGAAGTCATCTGAAAGAGATGTTACATAGAAGCGACTGGTGCGAGACAGGTGAAATTCTGCGTCCTGTATCCAATAATTTTGTATGTTTTCAAATGAAAGTCAGCAATTCGTAAAATAAATGAGCAAGTAAAGTACGCAAAGATGGGTAGGTAAAGTTCTGGGATATACAGGCGTGTGTGGAAAATAACTAGTTGACGCTGGGAGTTCAGTAGTCCATGGGTTCGATATCGGTTGAATGTTCATCTTCGGATGTGTCTGTGTCTGGGGTCATATCTGGCACGTGTACCAGGGACACTTTCTCGAAGGCGGGAATGTTCGACTGTAAAGACCAATGTTGCACTAGGATGTCGCGGTTTTCATCTACTCACTAGCGTGTAACGAGATGATGAGACATGGACGATAGTGTATGGCTATAGCTGTTCAAATCATTGAACGTTTGTTCGGCACATTCTGTGTTGACTTTTTTTCAATGCTAGAACGGAAGAGCAAACTGGCGAGCGGACAAAGAGAATGAAAAGCTAGCTGGATTGAAAGCCGGATTTTGTACTGTTTTGCAGTATTGTCGAGTATGATTTTTAACGTGCATTCGGTCGATCGACCATATCACAGTATCTAGCCTGAGAGCTGCTGGTGTTGATTTGATACTGCCATCTGTGCCGCGTTTCGCGAAATGTTCAATGCAGTGGCACCCATCATCATAATTAGATGTATTGGGATGGACAGACGTTTGAGACTCAAGGCGAACAAGTGAGTGCTTGTAGGAGGAACATGCAAAAGAATGGAAAACTTACTGCGAATCGCTGTGAAAATCATATCCAGTATTTGTTTGACCGTTTCCGATCGATATATTTCGGAAAAAGCTGTAATCACTCGGCAATTGAATACTTGTGCCATTAGCCCGAAGCTTCGTGTACATTTATGTACGTAGGCGTTCACTTTTCATTTTAACGTTTTACATGATGTTTGCTGTTCATAGTCCGTCGATCGTCTCACTTGCGTTCGTTCAGAAAATTTCTTCGTATTGGTAGTTGGTTAAACGGACGTCTCCAGTGTTTTCCTCTCATCGTTATTGGCGAAAGCAGGGTCAGCACAATATTTGCTACCACGGACGGGTGTAGCATGGCAGCTTTTCACAGTTTTGTCGTATTCACTCGTGGACACAGCAACATCCTTGTAATTGCAAATTCGGCGGCGGCTTTTGACATGACCACTCATCACCGCTGTCTCGGGGCATTCACTAGAGCACGGGCCGACAAAGCTTTTATGATTCGACCAAAAATACACGGAGGCAATATAACGACGTGGGAATCGACAAACGATGCAGTTGTTTCGATCGACGAAGTAGTGAGGGATTGAAACTATCTGTTGTCCGATGAACAAATCAAATTGAAGCAGTTGCTATGCAAAAAGGACTCCTCGAGATGTCCTCGGTCGCTTTTTACTCGTGGGGTTAGTTGATGATCGGAAAAGGAATTGAGTGTATCTACAAATCCCATGAATGATGCTCGCAGCTCGACGATATCGCTCTCGAAGAACAAGAGAAGGTCACAAGAGTACGCTTGATGAGCATTCCTGAATATATAATTACTTTCCATTGTCAGAAGATTGAGCCGTGAATCTTTTCGTTCTGTTTTTCAGAACCAAGTTCGGGTAAGCAATGAACGGTTTTTGTTTCGTTGTCAAATTTGAATACGAGTGCGCGCATTTGCCTATGAAGAGTGTGTTGGATTGTGATTGCTCGATGTCGTGAACTATGATTTCAGTTTTTTCGAATTCCAGTTTCTGTTGACATATTGGAGAACATCTGATGTGTGTAGCGAGATGGACATAGTTTACCAATTGATTATACAGAGAAACGCGCGAGAAGGTGTTGATGATCGTGTGAACATTGCAATCAATTGGTAGCGTATTCCCTCGACTGAAAGGAGGGTCTTACAAAAACAAATAAAGTTTGTTCGTACGTGCGTACGTACGCACATGGGATGGTCAAAGGAACATCATCGATAAAAAAATCAATTTGTCAGAGGTTTGAGGCTGCTGTCCTTGATAACTCGATGCGAGGAACACGAATCCAAGGCTGAAACACGTCGAAAACCCATTGGTTGGTCGGGAGCCAATGGAAAGCGAGCTCGCAGGAAACAAGTTTTTCGGAGGTTTCTCGATGCAGGGAACATGATTTCCGGGCTCAAATACCTCGAAAACCCATCGGTACACCGAGAGTCCATAGAAATCGAGCTTGCGGGAAAGGAGGCGTTCTGGAAAGACAGTAGATACAAACATAAACAAGACTAGCCATGAGTGGCGTTTCGGAGGAGCACTGACGAACAACTAGTCGCTAATCTATGGGACGTCAATCTCTGTGAAATCTTTTTCTTTAAGCAAGACAACACATGAACTAGCATTGGATGCCCAAAGAGATAGTCCATATTCGTATCAAATGACCGTCAGGCGGAAAAGACAGACATTTCATGTTTGAAGATCGGACATCAGAACTGTAGAGGCTGAGCTGAAGATAGTTGTCGGCGACGCATAATGGCACATAACTGCAGTATCGACGGGGAAACCAAAATAAGACACATTCAAAAGCATTCGAGTAGTCTCTAAGACCACATTTAATGAATTTAGAGATGTTTTGGCTAGCGAATTGTGAAATTGGTGGAGTAGTGACTGTGATCCCAGGAACTCTCGCTGATAACTCACAGTACAAAATATTGGGATGTGACCGTTGATATAAGTATAGAAAACGGTAGTCTTCCAACTCAGCTCTTCGGAGTGAAGAACTTATCTGGGAATAGCATGGAAATAAAACCGGAGCATTATTGCAAACTGCGTTTGAGCTAAGGATTCTGTTGTGTACTCCACTTTAGATTCTCGTCACGGTAGTCACCGTGAAGCATCGTAAGATCATTTGATACTATTCCGAATCTTGTGCGTGGACGTATATTTTATCAGAACATGAATTTCTACAAACATCTCGTGGTTAATCGTATGGGGAAAGGACTAGGTGATTGAGTAAATGTAACACGGACAACGCAGGGCCGCCTTGGGAGTGGCGTCCCCAAGGAAGGCCGACAACCGACGAGGATCAGCATGTCTTGCTTCAGACTAAAGGGCTTCCGGTAACAATGGTTTGCGCAATATTTTTTCTTCTTTACAAGAAGATTCCCATATGATCCATCAAGTGCATTGAAATTCTCTTTTCGATTCGGATTCGTTCGGAATCGGAGCTCACCGGATTTGGATTCGACCAGATTCGTTATTTTGAAGTGTGGCAAGAGATGATAAAACAATGATGTAATTATGTGGCCAATGCGTTCATCAGATGGATTAACGAAAGTTTCAGGGTGTTTTCTAGTGTCAAGTGGTGCTTGTTCTTTCAGGATGAAGAAGAATGAGCTAGAGCTTGCCATATGAGCACCGATATAGGTATTCATGTTTTAAGATGATCATGCTCAGAACTCAAAAGATCAAGCGATAAATCAATCGTCCAGGTACGAAAATGCATTTCCACCATTTATAATCTAAAAATGCTCTGAAGTAACGAATCTGAGCGAATCCGATGCTCAACGAGTCCGAATATTCGGGTTTGGTACATACCTATTCGTGTATGATCACTAAATCGTTATTTTCATCAAGAAGAATTGATAGAAAGATCGTTCAGATTGAAGATGATATCGCAACCCCGTTGAAAGAAAAGAGGTAGTGATTCTAGTTTAGATCGTGTGTGGGATTTCATTCTCGAATAGGATGGACTTTCGACGGTGAGAATAAACTCATCATAAAGGATCTCTATATCAGCGACCTGTTCACGATATAGTACATATGCGCCCTCTGAAAAGAAAAGCGAGAAGTGAAGCTAGAGACTGAATATGTTCTAACAGGTATTCTTGATCGTGTTTGATAAAAACGTAGTGCTGAAATACGATCGTGGAGGATTAGTTAGTTTTCGGGGAACGTCGCTAGAATTCACTTCATTTATTCGAAACAGAGTTCGTTTTTTAGAACAATTTCAAATGAATCAATATAGAGGTGCATTGCTACTTAGACTAGACGGCTGCCTATCAAATATCAGAAGCCTTCAGATGAGCTCTCGAAGATAATAAGATGCGGTTGTAACCGATTGAAGTCCATAGTAATTGGTATAGGTTGCGAGGATCTTAGATGATCGAGAACAACTGGTGGTTTCATGATGCGTTCATTGGCTTTATCGGGTTTTCCAGTGTCTACCAACGTTGCCGAATGCGATGGTTTTGTGGATATCATCAAAACATCTCGTTTATCTTTCCACTTGATTAGTTTTATACCATTGTTACTCTGAAGCCCATAAACTTCACCACGTTTAAGCTTTTTCTGAACTACACCATGTCCCGATCCAGCGCGATTGCTTCTTAGTGTTCCAATAAGATAAGTATCATTTTGTAATAAGCTTTCTGCGAGAGAAATACTTGTAAAGAAGTTGTCAACTACTACAGTTCGATGACATTCGAGGAGGCCATCCGCCAAATCGAGTACGACAGTTTGAGCATGCCCAAGACTAGCCGTTGGATCCTGCTTGCCAGTATGAATCATAAAATTCCAAGTGTATCCGTTAGTAGACGCTAGCTTATATATCTTGACTCCATATTTGTACGCATCATCAGGAATATAGAAAATTAAGATAACACTCTGTATAGATATTACAATACTAATTAGAAGAAACAAGAGAAAAAGATGACAGAATATGAATAATTCGAATTATTAATATTCTTTTATCTTTTTCTTTTGTTCTCTTGTTTCTAGTTCTTTTGTTCTCTTGTTTCTTCTTAGTATTGTAATATCTATACAGAGTGTTATCTTAATTTTCTATATTCCTGATGATGATAAGAGTTTCTTATCGAAAGCTGGAATAAAACTTATGATTTTTGTTTAAAATCTATCATGTTCTTTGTAGCAGTTTTATACTCATTCTTTTCTAAAATAATTCCTACTGCTCTAACTCCAAATTATTTATGTAGTTTATTGTTAAAGATTCTTCTTTGTAATGTTGTTTTCACCTCCTTATCTTTGCATTCAACTCTATAAAATATTCTCGCCACAGAGACTATCATTAAAATGAAACTTTCCTGAAGGACTATTTTGTGATGATGTTTAGCGAACACTTCATGCTTCTTCTTTGTAGCATCTTGTCGCATTTTTATAGAAGAATTTAAATAAAAGATTGACGTGAAAGACCAACATTATCTTGAAGTTTTCCGCAAATTACCAGTTCTGAGTTTTCAACCTGATAATAGCACATCATGATTAGTGTATATGGTATTAAGATATTGTTTTAGATGAGTAAAACAAGACGAGAAAAATATAACAAAGAAGTTTTCCTTCTCTTTGTACTTCTATAGTCCGACGATGAAATAATCAAGTTTTGAAAAAAGACATCAGTGATGACATTATAAAAAGCATGTCACTGCAACGCTCAACCGAATTGATACTCAATGCTCACACCAATAAGCATTAGATTATTGGAGCAGCACCTTATGATTTGCTATTATCTTCATGAAAATAATCATTAACAATAAAAGAATAAAAAACTCTGTTTTTCAACGAATTTAACTAGATTTACTGCAGGTTTTCTGCTATAACCTTCTTCAATGAATTGAAATGATATTTTGTTGAATAAAAAGACAAAGTCTTCTTTTATCAATCAGTAAAGCGTATTGTAACTGAAATCATCATAAATGATGAATATAGTTAACGAATCCACAATCGAATAAAATGATTTTGTTGAGTAATTATTCTATGAATACCTGTCGATGATAATTGTTCTTGTAACCATGCAGAGTTTTTCTCTGTTGATTTTGATGATGGATGCGGCTTACCAGTTCGACATTGAACATTGAATGCTTGCAGATGAGGCATTGTATTGATCAGATCAAGCATACATGTTCGATCTGCTAGAACGAGATTCAATACTCGACATTGAATAGCTGGTACAATTTTTCTGAGCATCATGCATTGTTCTCGATCGAAAGTTCCTCCACAGTGGAGTAGCTCTAATTGATAGACAGATAAATGTTGACTTTTGAACAGCTGTTGGAGAGAACTGGTCAACGTCTTCCAACTAATACGTATTGAAGTTAAACGTGGTGCTCGATCGAGTAAATCTTGTAATTGTTCTTGACAATGATCATCATAATTATCAGAAAGTACATCGATTGAAATCAGATGATCGAGTCTTGGAACCAAACAATGAAAATAAGCACCAACTGGTAAATCAATTGATAGATGTTCAATATGGAAAAATTGAATATGCGACACGGATGGGAAACCGTCCATACGAGGCTTATACATAAGACTCTTTACACACCGATATGAATGTTCATTGGGATTCAATGGAGAGGTTGACTTTGAACGAGTCGCTGCCAATATTTGGAATTTATCGAAAGCATACGGTAGAGTATACAAATATCCGTAATACTTGCCTGGAATCCAATCG